GGAAGGAAGGAAGGAAGGAAGGAAGGAAGGAAGGAAGGAAGGAAGGATTTCCAGCATAGTGGAGTGGATATACTCTTCATATAGCACTCTGCAGATTGTACAACTAAAATCATTACCATTTAAAATCATTACCATTTAAAAATCATGGCATCTTGTGACAAAGGTTCGTTTCAATCCTATATCCTGGGAAAACAAATATTGACAATTACGAGAATTTTCTTACACATAAGAATCCTGTTGGAGAAAATGACAGTGCCAGGCTCACTCTCCTGTCCTCTCCACCCACAACTACAGTACCCTAACCCCTTGTGTCACATTTGCATTTCTATTCAACTGAACTGCCTGACAATGAGGCAAATGGTTTTGCCTTATCTGTACAATTCTGGACAACGGAGATTTCTATGCCATACAAAAGAACAGCCTTACCATTCAGCATTTCAACAGTTTCTACTGAAGTCCATCAATATACCTTAGGGAATCCTGCCTTATAAATACGTTTCCTTGATAAATTATTCACCCCCCCCCCACACACACACATTAATTGTAAAAATGAAGGAAGGGAATGAAGTAAAAAGAGAATCTCCTGGGAGACAAAACTCCCAGAATTAATTCTGTACTTTGGAAATATACAGTCTATTGTATATCTGTAATATAATTGAATAAACAACGTGTAGAGGTCGAGGTGCAGAAAATGTTTTATTTTGAACTCAGAATAAAATTGACCCTCTTGAAGTATTTCATCAAAAGGACAAAATGATTCAAATTAGCTCCATTCTGACTGAACAAAACTGAAAAGAGGTTGTGAGTTTCATATTTATCAGAACAAAGCATGGCATTTTTCAACTGTTCCAGGTTTTGTAAACAGTGAAATATACTGCTCAGTTACACCAGTCTTGCTTTTTCCACCAGGGTTACAAGAATATTTGAGATGATGTTCTGTGCTGAATACTGCCTACCATTCAAATTCTTGAAAATATGGCCAAGAATAAGATTTTTAAAGCAATTTTAAAACATTAAAATACATCTAAATAAGAAGCTATGAGAACACAATTTTGTTCTCAATTATGAGAAAGGAATTTGTTATCACCTTCTCAAGAAAACAGAAAATAATTTCTAATTTCTTTAAACCGTTAAACCTCTTGGTCCCTTAGTCAAAGTTTGTAAGGACAAAGAAAGCAGCAAATTGATTTAGTTTCAATTAAAACATCACTTATATAATTTTTCTAACATTCTAGTTTTTTTCCCCTTGGTTAATTTTTCTATAGTTGCTAATATCACAATTATTTATTAAAATCAAAAAATATGTCTGCTGTTTCTTCCCCCATTCTGTTTGCACAAGCCCGTCAAAAAACAACAGTATTTTTATATGCTGATATTTTCGGTTGCATAGAAGGATGGCTGCTGACTACAAAAAACAGACCCGTTATTGCCTCTTAACAACATAGATTAATAAAACACAAGAGTACGCATATTACACATACATGCCAAAATGCAACAAGTCAGCCTGAAAATCAAAATTAACAAGATACAAGTGCACAAGACCATGCAAAAAGCTACGCAAACACTAAGGTTACATTAACCAAGCAACCAAATCAGCACTCTGCAATTAGTTTTTACAACCTCAGTAGCATTAGTAATACTTCTGAGTGAAGCACAGTTATGCACAACATAGGCACATACCTGTTTGCATTATTTATTGCAAAATAAAGGCATAATACAACATCCAGATAATTCACCCACAAACTTATGGTGTGAATCTAGCAATTTTTTAAAAAGTATGATGGATCTCTGCTGCTATATTTGTTAGGCAGGAAAAATGTTGGAAAACAGCACCTAACTGCAAACAACAGCACAGCTGAAGTGATTGGAATACTAAAAGCCATGCTGCTTTATAAGAGTCAAGTTTTGTTTAACATTTAGTACAAAATAGCGTCTTAATTAAAGACACTCTAACTTAATTTTTACAATGTACATTTGTTGAGTATTTGGAACACTTAAAATATTTTGCATCCAAAAATCTTAATAATTTCTAGCATTTCATTCCCATGTGCAAATTTTTTTTCAAATTTCAAATTAATTCCTTTAAAATTAACACCCTCTTACCAAAACTGACTTACGAGCCCCAGGCAAAGCAGTTTCCTTGGGCTCCTATGACAACTACTCACAGGAATAAAAATGTAAATGGTCGATAAAATTAAACATATATTTGCATGTTAGTATTAATAAAAAATGCAGTAAAATGTAATAAATATGTTGCTGTATTTGTATGATACAAGGTGCATTGAAGGGTTAACAGATTAGTATGGGGCCCCTATGCTCGTGGGGCCCATTAGACCCATGCATTAAGAAAGCCCTGCTTCTTACTGATATGTTAGTGAACCCAGATGAAATCTCCAAATGAGCTTGAGATTTCTATCTATTATATAAAAAGCTTACAATTTATAAAAAGCAAAAGAAGAGGAGAGTTCTCTATGCAATAGAATATATCTATAAAATTCAGAGGATGTCTTGACAATTTTTAGCAAGACTGAACCTATCAAACATAATTTGATGAAGTAAGTAGATTGTTTTAATAAATTACACCATAATAAGACAGGATCTGCTTTCTTTTATTAGATCCCATGGCTTTATGGGATGTGAGGGATCCTATGGCTGTCAAGGATTTGGAGAGCCATAAACCTCTAACTCTTATGCTATAGTATAACAGCTAATTTATACTAGTGTACTCATGACAAAAAAAGCAGTAAAGGAACATTCCAGTCCAGAGACTAAAGTGATTCCAAAGAAGGCATTTCCACTTTAATCAACCTTTCTTTGGTTAGACTAAAACATTTGTCCTGCCCTACATCAGTGGGACCAACTAGAGCAGAGGTCTCCAACCTTGGCAACTTTATGCCTGGCAGACTTCAACTCCCAGAATTCCCCAACCTGTTTTGCTGGGGAATTTTTCAACTAGGAGTTGAAGTCTGTCAGACTTAAAATTGCCAAGGTTGGAGACTCCTGAACTAGAAAGTGGATATGCCGCCTGTATTTAGTTGGTGGGCTCAGACCGCCATCAAAGGCTATCTTACACATGTTCAGCTGAAATTTATAATTACTTCACATGATCAAGAATTTTATCCAATAGAGGTTTAGATATAAGCATGGAAGATACTTTACAATTACAATTAGATTCTTTGTGAGAATCTCTAGAAAGAAGAATTAATGGAGGAAATCATAAATATTTAGGTTTATTTTTTACCTTTTTGGAATTTAGAATCATTGTTCTCAAACTACAATCTAGGGAATTGTGCAATTCTTCAGAAACCTGCTTTAGAATATTTATCAGTATGAAACCATAAATAGTCATAAACTTTCCTGGTTTATTAACCTAGTAATATGCAATAAGTAGAAAAAACTACAGAAGACAAAGTATGCCCATGACTATGAGAGGCCCTTCCTCTGTCATTTTCAAAAACTTATTTCCAATGTCTATTCTGTCCATCTTTTAGCAAAAAAAGTCAAGATATTTTTATAGTTTGGCTTTTTAATTTAGCCTCTGAATTTCTTGAACTAAGATTTTAATTATGTTTCCTTATTTTACTGCATTATTATCCACCTTACGCAGTAGTGCTGAAGAGAAAATAGGATACAAATCTAATAAATAGTAATAGTAATAATTCTATTGTTGATGCTACAGTTCAACAGAATGTTCTTTGGGCTCTCTGAGAATTGAATCAACAACATCCACAGAACCAAGAAAACAATGAAGAATACATTTAAAAGCAATATCAACTTAACATAAATGTAAGCATCTAACAAACAACATTCCCAATAACTGAGCCAGGTTTTAATGGCCTTCTGCCAAGTAATCAGGTTAGGTCTATCCAGATCTCCAGAAGAGGTTGTTCCATAGGACAAGCATCATGACAAAGAAGGTATTTCCTAAGTCCCACAACATTGCAGGATGCCATTCTTTTTTGATAATTTGTGTTTAATGCTAAGAATCCAATATTAACTTGCAAAGTTCTCAAAAACTATATTTTTAGGAATATTACCTAAAATTGCTCCTTTGAAACTATGAGACAATCTATACACCGAAACCATCCTATCCATTTCAGTTTTAAATATTTTTTCTTTGTCAAAAGATGAACTGCTTATTAATTAATCAAATTAAATGCATAATTTGAATTAAAGTAACATCAGGGGACATATATAAGAGTTTTTAAGATGATGAATTGCACACTAACTATGTGTATGATGTATTTTTTGTTGATAGGTTGGCTTAGTTATGAATGGGTGCCATTTTCCATCTGCTGCTTTGCTAGCTTATTAACATTACAGTTTCAGTATTTCAGTTTTTAAGATATCATTCTAGTTTGCTTGTTTCATTTATTTTGTTCTCACTATGGCATCCAGAGGTTATCCCTTTT